GAATGAGGGGAGGGCAGGGACAAGGGGAAAAAATGAGAATCAAGACCTGTCATGTAAAGGTACAAGATCCCAGTAATGAATGTAACTGTACTGTATACCTAGGATGTACCAATTAACTCCATAAAAAGAGAAAAAGAAAAAAAAAATTCCTCGATTGTAAAAGTAACAGATCAATGTAGCAAATTAGGAAAATAAAACCCTATCGTTGTAACCCTACCACTCAAAGGAACTACAATTGGGTGTTATTTCTTTCAGTATTTTGTCTACTATATAATGTATAATTGGAATATATGGTATTTCAAATTATAGTAAAAGATGCACTGCCATTAATCTACCTCAAAATACAACCCCCTCACTTCAATCACACATATTACATTGTTCTTGTCACTTTCTGAAGCAGTTCTGGAAGTCTTCTTGCTTGTCTCTAGTTATACAGTCATGGTTGCCTCAATGTCCACAATCAATTCTAAATGATTACCTTTCATGGTCATTTTAACACTGGCAAAGAGTCAGAAGTCACATGGTGCCTGATCCAGTGAATAAGGTGGGTGAGGACAGACCAAATTTTTATGAGCCTGTCTTTCCACCGGCACTCAGCAGCAGCATTCACTGAAGTTTTGATCGTACCTCATAACGATATCAAAGAGGACTCTAGAATCGCTTCACAAAGAATATTGTGCTCAAAGTAAGGGAGTGTGTTCTGAGGAAGATTAGCAGCAATTTGTCTTTTACTGTAATAATCTTTTGTTTACAGGCAACCCACTTTTGAGATCCCCTTCTGTCTCTTAGAAGCGATCTCTCAATAAATTCTTCTTACTCTTAAAAAAATAATAATCTGTCTAAACACTCACTGTATATTCTGATCACACCTCATACACAAGGAATTGAGTTTCAGATATATACATGCCTATGTATTTTTTGAATAACTTTGTTAGAGACTGTATTTCATCTTTATCTTTTGCTGACCTAATATATGGTATAATAACTATATGTGACATTAAAAATTCTTCTAAAACATGATTTTGATGACTTACTACATGGATGTGTAGGAATATATTTAATCATTTCCCTACTCTGGGATATTTATTAACATAATAAATAAAAAACTGCCATAAAAACTACCTCACCTTCTAAACAAAGGGAAAATATCTGTGAGAATGGAAGGGTCAGTCAGTCCAGCACAGGAACTCAGGGCAAAGGCCTTCCCTACAACAAATTAAAAAGCTCTCTGTCTCAGAAGGCAATTTAAGCCCAATTCATTTTCATTCTTACATTTTAAGTATCGATACTCATCTTCTTAAACTTTAGGAAACATGATTTTTTTTCACAATAGTTCCAAACTTAATCATTTGGTCTTGAAATTTAAGAAAAAGATTACTTTCTTAAAAATCCAAACCCAATAATTTAAAATAAAACACTAATATTTATGATTTTCAAAAAATGACAATTTTTTTCTTAATACTTAGTACGAGCAAGCTTCATTTCTTCCCTTTGTCTTATAGAGTAATTTAGGTTTCCACCTAAAAAACAAACACAGTCTTTTCATTGTAACATCAAGAAAAATTTAGCCAGGCACAAACATTTGCATAGATGTATCTTTTTTAAGTACTAGAAAGGCTATGAAAGATGAGAAAAAAATACAATTCTTACATAATATAAATAATCACTCAATTTAATTCTTTAAGTTTGGAATTATATATTGCTTCAAGTTTCATTAACCAGAATATTGTACAGTAGACCCCTGAAATTTATAGGGGTTATGTTCCTAGAGCACCTGCATACTGTAAAAACTTTGAATTTCAGATATGGCCAGACAAATGCCTAAAAATGTCCATTTTTACAGTTTAAACCCTACAAATGCTATGTCTCCCACACAGTTATGTGATTTAATTTAATAAAATACTGTATTAATAAAGCCTTAGAAGGTACAGAGTGTTTCGGCAGGATCTCAGGAGTTTAGGAAATCTGGAGACAGCCTCACAAGGTATAGCAACCTCTTATGATGCCGGGAATGCTGGCGCACTTGATCAAGATGGGTTACAAGGCAGCAAAAAGCAGCAAAGAGAACTAAATAATGCCCTCAGGCTGGCTATTTGAAAACCACCCACCAAAAAGCAATTGAGGAAGGTACTGATGGTTTCCAGGAAACTGCAGGACTTCAATGAGCAATTATTAGGGTCTAAGGAAAAATCCTCAAATGACTGAGGCCATAAACTTTCACCCACAACTCTGGGAGGTGGGGTGGGTATACTGCATTAACATTCAATAACAGTGAAAATTAAGAGAAATTTAAGGAAAAAGCCTAAAATTTAATCACCATGTAGCTCATCTTCAGCTAAGTTATACAGTATCCTCTAACAGCAAGATGTTAGAAAAAATAATAAAGGCAATCTCAAAATCTTAACAAAGAACAACAGATTAATGCATATACTAGTATTAGTTTAAAAAATTTGTAATTTCTAATTCTAAACCAGATATTTTCAACCTTAAAATACAAACTGCAAATATACATCTGCCAGCCTATTTTTTTCAAAATAAAGAATAAGAGCTGGGCATGATGGCCTATGATTGTAATTCCAGCAATCTGGGAGGCTGAGGCAAGAGTATCTCAAGTTGAAGCCTAGTCCAGGCAACTAAACACGACCTTATCTCAAAATAAAAAATAAAAAAAGACTTGAGGATGTAATCCAGTGGAAAGTCTCTGGGTTCAATCCCCAGTGCTCCACTCACCAAAAACAGTGTACATTTTAAGTTATTTTTAGGTTATTTTTTTAAATGCTGTATTTCCTTATGCTAATATAGTAATAAAATCTAAAATTTTATATTACAAACCTCAAACTGACTTGGCCAGAACACAAAAAGTAATTCACTGATAAAAGTGCCACTAGGAATTAAAAAAAAAAAAAAGAGCTTTTTAAAAATATATATTTCTTCTCAATTACTCCTGTTATCATAATTACAAAGTGAAGTTTAGACAAAAAACAAATCTTTATTAACTGGCAATTATAGATAATACTATTCACATTATTTTATTTCCAAAAGCACTAGAATTAAGTTAGGCCCTTTTCTCCATGGGAAATGGCTACCACCGCAGGGTCAGAAACACAGGCTGAGACTCCTACAGGCTACAGCTCAAGGGAGCCCACTTGCCCACAGGCATCCCCACCTCTAGCGCTCCCTAAGTGCTGGTCCTTCCGAGCACTTTCCCAAACTCCTGCTGACTACCTGACTGAAGTTTATTATTCTATAAAATTCTAAACAGTAGTCCTGGGAGACTACTGAGAAACCAGGGAACGGCAGTACTTCCTGTCAGCTGATTACTTTTGATCATCTTAGGGATTTTTCTGGTATCAACAGTAATGATTACATAATAACAAAAGACCAGACCTAAACAGTAGTCCTCTGGGGATTTTATTTCTAAAAGTACCATGTCCACTGTACAAATGAATACCCAGACATTAAAACATAGTTATTAGACTCTCATCACACCACAGGCAGTAAAGATCTCCAGTGTCAGTGCTTGGCTTTTTCCCTTACCAAGTGAGGCACACTGTTTAATTTACTTTAAGTTAATCTGGCATAAAGTTTTTGTTTGTTTGTTTCTTTCTTTCTTGGTTTCTTTGTACCAGGGATGGAACTCGGGACCTTGCCCTTGCAAGAGGCAGGCAGTAGCACCACTGAGCTAAAGCCCTGTCCCACAAAAAGTATTTTTAAATGGCATAGTGTTTTGTTTGACAGAAATGTATGCTAAACTATGGACTGAAATTAATCTTCATGTTGCATGTTGCACCAAAAAAAAGACAAAAACATATTGAGGATATACTCCTAAGTGAAATAAATAAGTCACACATGTGTAAATACCGAATAATTTCACTGGTGTGAAAAACTATAATGGTACATAAGATCCTAATGATATAATTGACAATGTGAAATAGGAAGAAAAGGGCTAAAGGAGTAGGGGAAATGGAAAGGGTAGGGGAAAGGTAATAAGGGAACAGAAAAAAAAAGTGAGAAAATGAAAAAAAGGAAATAAAGTATTTGTAATTAGAGAAGGGAGGAGGGGGCAAAGGGAGAGCAGGAACAAGGGGAAAAATGAGAACCAAGACCTGTCATGTAAAGGTACAAGATCCCAATGATGAATGGAACTGTACTGCATACCTAAAATGTACCAGTAAACTCAATGAGGGAAAAAAAAAAAAAGACAAAGACATTTCATGACTTAATGTTCTGAATTCTTAAATGACTCCCATTTAATAACAAATGAATTGGGCCAGGGATTTAGCTCAGTGGCATCGCGCCTGCCTCACAAGTGCAAGGTACTGAGTGCAATCCCCCATGCCAAAAAAATGACTTATTTTCTAAACTTGATGGCTTATTTCTAAAATTAAGAAATATTAAAATGAATTCAGAGGTATTCATCATAAGCAATGATCTGCAAATACCACACTTCAAGTATACACAGTCTTCTTACAAATGCAAACAAAACTTCTAAAAAATTATTGCTGTAATTTATTTTAAAAATACCGATTTATCTTTTAGTTCGACAATTTCCTAGTACCTCCTATTTTTAACCAAAGCACAGCTAAAAATTAAGTAGCAGACTACAAATAAAAGCAATGAATAAACCATAGTCACACCTAAATCACACCGACCTCTACACGTGCACACTAAGGACATACTCAGGACCCTCCAAATTGTTTCACTTTAAAGAGGAAATTTTCTTAAAAGCATAAATACTCAACACAGAGCATAAGATGATCCTACGGCTGCTTTTGCAAATATAAATCTCCTGAAAAAAAAATGTTCGAATCTTCGGTGAGCTGACCATAAAGACACCAGCTGTAAAAGTCTGACACACAGACTAAGAATTAGGCAAATCTAAGTAATGATGCCTCAGTGACGTGTCTTGGAGAAAAGGGGAGGACAATGACAATTCGAACCTAATCGTACACATCAAGCTATGTTAAAAGAAGCTAAATGTTGCTTCATGGCATACTCACCAGAAACACAGGAAATGAAAGAAACTTCTAAAACAAATATCCCCGAGTATCCAATATCATGCCAGCAATAATAGAAATGATTGCTAACCCAAGATTCTGAATGGACTGCATGCTGCAATTTAAAAAGTACAAAAGCACATTTCATTTTCAAAAGTCCTCACATAGAAATTAACACATCACTACACATCTTAGTATATTTACTAGCGTCAAGATGTTTTAATCAGAGATAGCTTGAGACGGGTTTTATTTCCTATCTTATGACTATTTCTGCTCCTAGACTGTCTGCTCAAAGGTAAGGGAGCTTGCCTTCTATGTGAAATCAGCACTCAGTACCTAATCCTGCTGAATGAAAGAAAGACTATGTGGATATCACCCTCAGGTGCAGCTGCCTTTCAGAGTCAGGGAGGGACTCAATTTCTCACCAGGAAGTCCTCGGACACATGGGTAGGGAACAGTAACATCAGCAATTACCTCTTAAGAGATTAGCCTAATCTAGCTCTCTTGGGAGGCCTAGAGCTGCTGTTGTCACTGTGGCACACTGAAGAGATTAACTTTTCAAGATATCGCCAGGTTCGTAGCTGTCCCAGAAACCTGAAGACAGATAGCTAGTTTCAGGAGACTGGAAAATATTTATGATCCACCACATAAATACTATACTTACAAGCCATATGCAGTTCCCAGTTGATGTTCAGGAACTAAAAATGCCACCATTGGCCACAAGGCACAGGCAAGCAATGAACAGGAAGAGTCCCAGGAGACACTACAGAGAGCAAGCCGGAAAGGTCAAAGTTTTATATTAGCCAAAAGGTGATTTTAATCACTAATCAATGAAGATTAATAAAATGAATGCAATTAACTAAAATATAAAAATGTAGGCAAATTTTATTAGGATTAGATTGAAACTCACATTCAAAATATACAACAACAAAAAAAAGTCTTGGCCTCTGTATTAAGACTACCCTTCTCAGTAGGGGAAAGGTAATAACGGTAAAGAAACAAACGTGAGAAAATGACAAGGTGGAAATAAAGTGTTTGTAAATGGGGAGGGGAGGAGGGGGTGAAGGGAGGGCAGGGATGAGGGGAAAAAATGAGAACCAAGACCTGTCACATAAAGGTACATGAGCCCAATAACGAATGCAACTGCACTGTATACCTCAAATGTACCAATAAACTCAATTTAAAAAAAAAAAAGACTACCCTTCTCATGACAAGGTGCACACTGTCTTAACCACTTTATTTGTCATCCTGTATCACATCACATGCATATTATAACAAATTGAGGCCCCGAAAGCAAAGACCACACAAGAAAAAGTTAATTTGCAAAAAGTTCTCATGAATGGTTTGAGAAAGCCAATTTTCCATCATTATTATTTGCCGGGGCAGGGGGTGGGGATCAAACTCAGTTCCTTGTGCTTGCAAAGCAGGCGGCGGAACCACTGAGTCAAATCCCCGGCCGCTTCCATTATTTATTAGGGATAATAAATTAAACAATCAAGGAAACACACCAGTAGTCTATTCTCTTGCTTCTAGGTCATCAACTCAACTGAAAGGCAGAGCAGAGCACCCACTACCACCACTATCAGTTGTCAAACAACATCTAACGGTGGCATTTTTTCATTTAAAAAAACACTTTGATGATTTAAGTCGGAGTAAGCCTCACTGACAGCTATCACATAAGCAAATATTAAAAGAATGTCTGTGCCCAACACTGGCAAGGAAAACAGACTCATCTGTGTGTTACTGGTGAAGTTATGTAGGAAGTTACTGGAAAAACTTCACGATGTTAACTGCATAAAGCCTGTGCTACAGCACTTCTACTCTAGAACCAGGACTGTTCCTCTAAGAGTAATTCTCCAGAAAGTCTCACCAAGTGCATAAACAGTTATGTTCAAAATGTTCTTTTATTAATAGGCAAAGAATGCAGCACTTCAGCTTATGGTCTTAAAGATGACGTTCTGAAGAATAAGAAGAGACTTGGTGAATTTATTATCAATTTTTTTTTAGCTACTCAGACTGAAAGACAAGCAAATGCATATTGGGCCAATCGATTTTCTGCCACTTTTGATGGAAGGACTTTTCAATGAACTTCAGAAAAATAAAAAGAATTAGCATCCTGGCTTTCATAAGGCTACTTTATTTCAAATTCTACTTCAGCACTGAGGCTGCCCTAAAATAAGGCCAATGAAATTAAAGAAATTTTATGGATTAATAATTTATAGTAATTTTTTTTGCTGAAATTGAAATCAAGTCACTCTTTCCCCGCTGTCAAAGCACTGCCACCTGAATTTAATGACCACACATCCTGACAGCAGACTTGACAGAGTCCTTACTGAAGCCCTGACCCCTCAACAGGTGTCACGACAGACATCACCATTGCAATCCAAGGGCTCCACATTGTGAATGCCAGCATCATGCGGGACATGAGAGTGGTGGTTACTGCACATAGAACCCAGATGATGCTCTTCCCTGTTTTGTCCACCAAGAGCCCAAAAACTGGGGACATAGGAGCTGATAGGACATATACAACACTGCCCAGAAAATATGTATGAAAGCTAATAAAATGCAAGGCAAACAGAAATAAATATCAAGCAAGTTCCTAAAAACATTAAGCAAAGCAAGCCCTAACGTAAACATTCTTCTAAATGATAATCAGAAAATAAAATATAAAAAGTAGCCCAAGACTTCTTGTTTTCCATTAATAAAAACATGGACACTCAAGAGTCAAGTACCGATACTGTACAGTCCTGGTCTCACACTGAATACTGGGCTCACACACATCTGTCTTTCTGCCTCTTACAACATTTGCTTATAAAGACTCATAATAAATAAAAAGAAAAGTGAATACATTAGAAAAAATACTGTTTTTAGAAAAAAAATGCCAACTAAAAATGAATAAAAGTAACCAGAGTTACATAAACTTTTTTTGATGCTATTTTCCCACCTTATTTGATATTCAAGCAATCTACTAAAGCATAATAATTTATATAAATATTTCACTGACTCAAACATAATGCCTATTCCTCCCTTTTACATAGAAACAGTACCCACAATTTCTCAGAAAACCAAACTTACTACTGCAAGGAATTAAGACTGCTTTTTTTGTGAAAGCAATACTACAAAGGCTCTTTGCTAAGTAATAAATAGAATTCTTGTCCCAAATTACATAAAATGACAGCATAAATTTAAAGATTATACATTTACATCTCCACAAATGCACTTGCACTCACACACTACTATTTAAGCCACTGCTAAAGAAAAAAAAGAGAGAGAAGTAGAAGAAAAAGCAAAGAATTTGCTTTGAGCCTGAACTTAAGGTTGGAAGGATTGCAGCTCCAGTTTTCAAATGGAGATGCAACTAGTCACAGTGCACCAACATGTGGTTTCCATTTGCAGTAAGAAGCCTCCTCACCAAAGAATACAGAGGAAATAAAAAGAATACTAGTCCAGAATCTACTGTTGAATCAAAAATTCTTATGAATTATTTCTTCAAAAAATAGAAGTATCAAAGCAATAGTAAAACTTAGGCTAAAAAAAAAATCCACTATATACCAGAATATAAAATAATTCCTAGGTAAATATAAACTATAACCAGACAAGAAAGATTTACTGCTTTAAAAAAAAAAAAAACTGTCTAGGGCTGGGGATTTAGCTCAGTGGTTCCAGCACATGCCTCACAAGCACAAGGACCCAAATTCGACCCCTGGTACCAAAAAAACCAAAACTGCCATTTACATGATTGAGTGCTCATTATCATTTAGTCAAGAAAAGTGGAATGCTAGAAAATACTTACTTCCCAAGTCCAAGAAAGGGAACACCACAACATAATAGCCAACACAAGTGATAAATAATCAGCCAGAGGGGTAAGGGGAAGTACTTTATATCCGTCAATTTCATGACTTCACCTTAGAGAAGAAAAGGAAGACACTATCAGCATAATTTCACCTATGTAAGGAGCTTCACCCATACTCAAGATTTTGTTTTTCTTTTTTTTTTTTTTGATACCGGGGATCGAGCTCAGGTCCTTGTGCTTGCAAGGCAGGCGGCAGAGCCACTGAGCTAAATCCCCAGTCCAAGATTTTCCTAATCATGTGATTAGCCGTTACTATTCAGTTTTTATAAATACTACTCTAGAGAACTACATACATATCATCTCTGGGATAAATTAAAAAACATGTCTAAGAAAAATCAGAAGCTAAGTGGGACTGAACATCCCACTCCCTTTGGGAAACCATAATTATTTTGTAAATATAAAAAGTACAAGAAAATATAAATTCTGTCCAAAAAGTTTACAGGGAAAAATGTACCCATACACTTAAACAAGTGGAAAGAAATGTGAAAGTGTATTTAGCCCCACCATGTTACAAAACTGTATTAGGAACTTGCTATAAATTCTCTTTAAAAGGCCATAGTTACTCAAAATCCCACTCCTCTTTCATTTAGACTTACCTGTTTTTCCTTGTTCTTTATGAAGAATTCTCTCCGCTCTCTGATCCAAGTAAGCAAGAGCCAAGGCACAGATTAGTGAAAGAACACAGGTTATGCCCCCTAAACAAAAAAGGAGATTTTTAAAAACAAAACCAGACTAGAGGTTCCTGAAAACATATTATAGAAACAGCAGAGACACAGCAACTGAAAGGAAGGCACCCTAAAGATGTGAGCAAGGAAATCCAACAGTTACCAACCGAGACAGAGAAGAGTAACAGCACAGGGCAAATTCTCAACAAACAGCTCCTATTATTGCACTATTTCCCAGTACAAAGTTGGAGATGAAAAGGACTATAACCAACTAGTTTTGTAAAGCACAACAGAGTAGGGAAACCTGATCGATCACTCACTCGTTAGGAAATCAGTTTTCATTTGATGGATGCCAGGAAAAAATTTAAACACAGTCTGATGCTGCAACCACCCTATCACCCTTCTTGAGTCTGTAATCTACGCTCTAGAGCCCCAAGGCCACACCCTCCCAAAGCACAGCTCTCCCCAGCTCTCCTCCTTATGAGGTCAGCATCTCTCACCAATGTGCATCTCAGCTCATCAAAGCCATCAAAATAGTGAATAAAGTTCACACTTCTGGAGAAGAAATATAGAAAACTTAGTAAAATA